ATGGAAATAGGCAATGGTGAGCTCCTCTGTATCTCTTCCCAGCTTCTCTTCAGTGATGTCATATCAACAGCTTAAAATTGGCCATGGGGTTACTTACACCACAGAACCAGCCTGCCTAGCTGAGGCCTGGGTTCTAGTCCACCCTGGGCCTCTGCTTAGTGTCTAACTCATGGGACAGGGAAAACTTATCCAGAAGGTTAGTGGTCTATAAAAATTAATTCTAATTGCTTTCAAATTCAGAAAAAAAAATGAACAGACTAATAATAAGTATATAATTATGAGTCCACTCTGGATTGTATTCGTCTTTGTACCGATGAGGTAAAAAAAATATATTTTTACTCTTTTGTTATTGGAGGAAGGAGCCCACAAAAGTTGTAAAGCACCCTGTGGGGTGTGGGGGGCCACTTCTGGAGAAACACTGTCCTGACAAGTTTACACAGTTGCTGCTACTGGGGGAAACATAGCAATAACCTCAATTCTCAATAATAAATCATGATTTTAAATTCTGGCTGGAATATTATGCAGTCACGAAAAATAAAGTGTGAAGGATAAATTAAACTGTCGTGGGACCGTGTGCCCTGCAATTACCCCTGAGGAATCCGCCTGGGGCGAGGGCAGGCAGGGAGGAGAGAAAGGTAAACACAGGGTGTGTCAGGCTAGTCTCATTTCTTTTGTATATTTCTTTATTCCTTTTTATCCTCATACCCACTCCAATTATCTGATTCTTTTTTTTTTTTTTAAGTTTATTCATTTATTTTGAGGGAGGGAGGGGGAGAGAGAGGGGGAGAGGGAGAATCCCAAGCAGAGAGCCTGATGCAGAGCTCAATAATGAACTGTGGGATCATGACCTGAGCTGAAAATCAAGCGTCAGAAACGTAACTGACTGAGCCACCCAGGCGCCCCACCCCATTCTCTGACCTTTATAGGCAGCCATTCTGATACATTTTTTTTGTTTCAAAATGAGCATTCTTTTGCACGTTGTTGTTTTTAACTCACGTAAGTGATACGGTGTTACTACCTCCTCTGTTTCTTACATTATTGCTAAAAACTGTGCTTTTAGATCCATCCATGTGGTTGTGTGTCTGCTGTAGGGATTCATTCTATTCTCCCTGTGATGGACCCTACCTCCCCTTTGCCACCAGCTCCTTTCCACTACAAATAATGCCATAAATAATGCCACACACCCGTCCTCGGTCGTGTCCCTTCTAGGCATGTAAGAGTGTTCCTCTGGGGTCAATAACCAGGAGCAGGATTGCTGGATAATGAGCAGCAGCACCCCATTTACTCCAGGCCATGAAACCTACACCCTACACAACCTCCACAATGCCCCAGGAAGCCAGCATCCATAGTATCCAGCTTCCTATCATGCGTCCTCCAGTTTAATAGGGATACAATGAGGTCCCTCTGTCATCTTAATGTGCAACTCTGTGATCACTCATGACTTTAAAATTTGTTTTAAATTTTATTTTTGAGAGAAAGAAAGAGAGAGAGAGAGAGAGAGAGAGGGTGAGCAGGGCAAGGGCAGAGAGAGAGACACACACATATACAGAATCTGAAGCAGGCTCACGGTCTGAGCTGTCAGCCCAGAGCCTGCCCCGGGGCTTGAACTCATGAACTGTGAGAGCTCATGACCTGAGCTGAAATCGGACGCCAACCGACTGAGCCACCCAGGAGCCCCTTTAAAAAAAAAAAAT